CTTCCTTCCCTCCTTCCTTTCTTCCTCCCTTCCTTCTTTCCCTCCTTCCTTTCTTCCCTCCTTCCGTCCTTCCTTCCTTCCCTCCTTCCTTTCTTCCTCCCTTCCTTCTTTCCCTCCTTCCTTTCTTCCCTCCTTCCGTCCTTCCCTCCTTCCTCTCCTCCTCTCTTCCTCTCTTCCTCGCTTCCCTCCCTTTCCTTTCCTTTCCTTTCCTTTCCTTTCCTTTCCTTTCCTTTCCTTTCCTTTCCTTTCCTTTCCTTTCCTTTCCCTTTCCCTTTCCCTTTCCCTCTCTCCAACTTTCTTCCTTTCCCTCTCCCCTTCCCTTCTTATCTTTCATCCCAGCCAAGCTGAGCCCGGACAATTTCCATACACACACGAATCCACCTCCCCAGAGCAAGTTGCCCCGCTCGCGTTTCTGACAGCGGTCCCCAAGGTCCTGTGAGAGCCCAGCCTCTGCCCCTCTTGCCCCCCCCACGGCCGGTTCTTCGGGCCGGGGGGATGCCCCGGGAGCCGGGTAGGGAAGGCAGACTCGTTTCCACCGATAAACAAAGGCTGGAAACGCACCAACAAAGGATCCGACGCGGCCCCTTCGCCCGGAGCGAGAGCCGCAGGTGAGGGCAGGGGCTTGCCCGGCCAGGAGAGGGAGGTCAGCTTGTAAGGCACTACTTGAGGCGGCGGGGGGGCGGGGGGGGAAGCTGTATGCGGCGCTTCAGAAGGAACAGGTCCTAAGTTGGTGAGGAAACTTTCTTCCTCCTCCCCTCTTTCTGAGGAAGCTGGAAAACCGGCGATTTCAGTTCTCTCTCCGCATATCCCCTCAGCATAAGGGCACTCATTCATTCCCTTCCCTGGCTGGGAGCCGCGAAAGCCCAAGTTCGGCGCCTAATTAGAAAGAGTGGCAGGAAGAGTCATTCCTCTTTAACATCAGCAGTTAATGGCCTCGGAGTTTAGTGCATCTGAGGAGGAAGTCTCACGGGGAGAGGCAGGGGGATGGAGCTTGTGGGGAAACGGAGGGGCCGACAGAAGTGGGGGGTCTTTTAAGCATGGTGGAGGATCAGAAGGAGAGATTAAAGGAAGGACGGAAAGGGAGAATTTTGCCTTAAAAAGAGGATCTCTAAGGTGGAGGGGGTGGGGAAGGATTGCACTGTGAGCCGACACCACATTTCCCCTCCGGTTGCCTTGGCTGCCTCAGCCGGGCGGGTTCGGAGAGCAGCGTAACCGGGGAGCAGCTGGGAGGGACAGTGGCAGGCAGCAAAGGAGAGATGAGCGGAGCCGGGATAGGGGGATGGAGGGAGGGATGGAAGGAGGCAGGGAGCTCTTCCGAGCCGCGGAGCGCTTTTCCTGGCTGCCTTTCTCGCCTTCTCCTCTCTCGCACCTCGGTCCTTTCCCTCCTTCTCTCCTCTCTGAGGTTTGCAAAGCCAACGTCACCAATCAATACGACCCCCGGCTCTGTGGGTGCGTGTGTGTGTGCGTGTGCGTGCGTGTGTGGGAGCGTGTTTGTTGATCCTGACCTGCTGGACTTCAAAAATCTGCCGCTTCAGACTCCCTCCCAGCCTGTAAGTTCAGAATTACAACCTTCTACATCTATGCAAACTTTTATTTGTCGGAGAATACCTTTCTCTGGGAGAAAGAGGAATTGTCACCATGTGATCGGCTAATTTCTGACACGCGGGGCTATACCCCTCCCCCAGCGTGGGGAAAAATCATCTCCCGTGGATCTCTTTGAACTGTGCACAATCCATAACTTTGGCAATGTGTATGTACAGTGTTATTTCTGCAAGGCAGTTTTCCAGGGTTAGGGGAGGTGGTTGCATTCTGCTAAATGGATCCTTTGTGGTGAGTGCAGATTTATGCCCAGTTTTGATTTATAATTAAATTAGCTTCTAATTTGCAATATGTGTGTCTGTGTTTAAAATGTATCTAATCTGTGAAACTGAGGACGGGGGCACTTTAAATTAAAATCTACCTTTCGCCTCGAGGGTTTATTTATGAAGGGATAGCCGGGAGGGCAGCGTGCAGCAGGAAAGCGGGTCTGTAATTTCCATTAGGAGATGTCAATCAATCCTTCTCAATACATCAATTAATAAATCCGATTGGTGCTGCAGGCTTCTCCCCCCGGGGCACTCTTTCTGGCCGGATGGGGAAGTGTGAAGGGAAAGCAAACTTTGGCCGGGAAGTCCCCGCTGGCAGCTCTCGGCCCGGCGCCCCCCTTTCCTCCTCCTCCGGCCCTGCGCTGGGCTCCGGGACCGGCTCCAGCCTCGGCGCTGGGGGCTGCAGGCGAAGCCGGCGGGACTCTCCCCGTCGGCTCTCGGGCTCTGGCAGAGGTAAATTAACACAACCTGGTGAGGTATAGTCGTGCCAGAGGCACGGCCCGGTGCGTCGGTGGGGGGGCGCACACGCGGTTAGAGCCGGGCCTGGGACCCCCCGTCTTAGCTGATTTATATTTAGGCTTCACTCTAAACGACACCCCCCTCCCCACGCTCCATCCCGCCCCATGCAGCTCTAACTAGGGCAGGAACTATCATGGTTTTTTTCGGTTGTTTTCTAGGGAACCACAGCACCCAGCTTTCATTTTTCACAATTGAAAAGGGGCCGGGGGTGGGGAGACTCCTCCAGACTGACAGCTCCTCCTGGCTCTCTGCTGCTGGCAAGCGCCCTACACCTGCAGACCAGCGGGAACTGGAAGGGAAAGGGGATTTCTTTATTACTATTTTTTGTAGTTCTTAACGGGAAAATACAGGGATTCCGTGGTCTCCTTCTAATTTAGCAATGACACCGATTCTCCTTCGTTCTTACTGGTTGTTCAGAAGAGCACCAGCGCGGCGGGTAGGCGCTGGTCGGGGAAGCCCGGGGCCGGCGACGGGACAAGGTGCACCGGGGTCTTCCCACTGGGTCTCTGCCCTTAGAGGTTCCCAGAGTCAGAAAAAACAGACATACAAAACTAAATCAAGGTGTCGCCTCCCTGCCTTCTGAAACCCCTAGAGACGTAGAAAAGAAGCTCGGAGGATGGGAGAGCATCTTCAAACTTCTCCGTAGCCATCATCATCATCAAGCCTGTCTGCTTGATTTAAACCCAGCACGAGAGGGAACACGCTGTCGCTGAACGCTGTCTCCTCAGCCTCTTCTTCCCCCCCAACCCAGACACACGGGTTTTACTCTCGGATCTGCGGCTGTGCTGGCGGTTTGGGCGGCTCGGCACAAGCGCCTTGTGCGTATCTGAGCGAGTGGGGCAGCGCTGGGCAAACACGGCGCTGCGAGGGGGGCACGGACTGCCGGGGCTTGAGGGCCCAACTTCGGGAGGAACCAAGTGAAAAGAAGAGAGATTGAGAGAGAGTCTCACAGGCAGCTTGATCCCATTAGCTCCGTCCTTGGGTTGCATATTTATACGGTCTAGGAGGTGAACAGATGGACTATCAATTTAATTCCATCTTCAACACCATCAGAGATTGATTTTCTACTCGCTTTTAATTTTGCCATAATTAATTAGATCATTACAACTGTTTTCTATTGATCTCCCTATTTAAACCTCAGATGCAAAGGGACTTCGGCAGATCCTTTAAAAACACAGAAGGGAAAAGGAACAGAGGGGGTTGCAAACTTTGTGATGTTTTTTTCGGTTTCGACTTAGAAGATTTTTGGTGCAGAACAGTGAAAAAAAGCTGCTGTGGCCTTTTCTTTTAGGAAGCCTTTTCGGTTGCCTTTATATTTTCCCCTTATGCTTTGCTGAATCTTTGTAATATATATGTATAATATATAGCATATATAATAGATTTAATTGATTCGATGATGAAAATATACGCTCCCACGTGTACGTGTGTATATGCACATATATGCACACACATGCACACAACGTATTTAATATTAAGATTTACGGGTGTGGTGCACACTCATATACGGGGAATGTATCGACAGAAAAGAGAGGTGTTTTTCTGAAGGGCGGGTGTTTTCACTTGACTCCCCTGTGTGTCCCTATTTGTGCACCTCAATCACCTCTAGATCGGGAATATTTCTCCCTGTTACTCCGCCAGAGCTGACAAAGGAAAACCAGAGCTGCAAGCCCGGTGCCCAGCGCCGCCGGAGCTTTTATTTCCAAGCCTCCCCTTCAGCAAGCGCTTGGCAGCAGCACTGCTCTGTGCTGACACTCGGCGAGGCTTGCATTTTAAATCTCCATGTGCCTTTTGTCTCCCAAATTAAAAGCTCCGTTTCTATACGTAATTTGAGAGAACCAAACCGCGTAATTGTGCCTTTATACCGCGAGCGGCAGACGCCGCGGAAAACCAAACCTGTCCTCTCCGGCGGGGTTCGTTTGAAGCTTTGTTTGCAAATCATAAAATTGACGACGGGGAGAGGGGGTCGACCCGGAGCTCCGTCCGCCGGCGGGGCAGGGCTGGGGGCGCAGAGCCACCGGCGCGGCCCCGGCCCCGCCGACACCGGCCAGACGCGGGCTGCCAGAGAGACCTGCAGCGGGGCCGGAGCGAAAGAGCCACCGGAGCGAGCAAAACTCCACGGGATGGGGAGGGAGGCGGTGGGAGAAGAGTTTAGGCGTTGCCCTGAACTCTCTGCTGACGGGAGGGAGCTCCGGGGATGAGGCAAATAGCCAAAACCGGAGCGTGAATCCGGCTGAGGGCGGGTGGCGGCGGCTTGCGCGGCCGGGCCGAGCGGCGGGGGACGGTGAGGCAGAGCGGCCGGGGCGGCGGGGACAGGGGACCCGGGACTCGGCCCAGGGCCCGCTCTCGGCTGGAGGCTCCGCTGAGGGTCCCTGCGAACTTCGCAGGGTGACCACGGTGGGGACCGGCCCTTCGAGGGAGGCTGGAGGAGGCACCCGTTAGGAAGGGGGGTATTTAGCAGGTGAGATGGCAAGTGTTAGAGAGGGGAATCTGGCGAGGCGAGGAGGGTGAGTGTGGAGGAGAGCAGAAGCAGGCTGCCTCCTGCCAAAGGAGGGAGTTGGGGGTGACGGTCTCATCCCTCCCTGCTGAATATTCAGCGCCCCCCCCCGCCCCCCTTACCTGCTCTCCCTGAGCTCTGAGCCATGGCTCCCCTGCCTAATGGCCCGTCTCCCCGGGACGGCTGCAAAACAGTAGATCCACCGCGGCCTTTTCTTCGCTTCTCTCCTCCCCGCTTGGGTGTCTTGCTTTCCCCCGCTGACTTTCGAGATCTAGGCGCAACCACCCAAAACTAAACGGTTTAGATAACAACACACACACACCAGAGCACCACCACCACCACAAAAAAAAAAAAAAAAATAGCCAGCCACAGAGAAAGAAACGCCGCTCTACTGAGCCGGGACAGGCTAAAAGGAGGGGAAAATAAATAACAATCAAAGCAAATGCAGCGCGTTTGCAAAGCAAATGCTGCTTATAAAAGTGGAGAGGGGCTCACCTGCTCCAATGTACAGGGCTGTGCAGTTGGGGAGGAATGGGGCTGGGGAGGGGGATCTTGGCAGGGGGGCAGCGTCTGGACTTTGATTCTGCTTCCCCTTGCCCCCTCCCGCAAACTGGCTACCTGTAGGGAAGTCTTGTTGCAACAGCAGATTAATTTGTTGTCTTATTACCATAAAAATGTGCTCGGAGAGGGAGGACGCGGGACAGAGGAGGAACTTCCTCCAAGTTGAAAAGGGAGGCGGTGGGCTCTTGCTGCGGGGGAAGCGGGCCGGGGCGGGGGGGTATAGCCGGGGGGGTTCGCAGCCGCCGGGACCTGGCAGCCTCCGGGACCTGGCAGCCTCCGGGTGGGGTGGCGGGGCCGGGGACTCTGGCGTTTACTTTTGAGGCTGCGGGGGGCAGTCCTGTGAAGTCTGCCCTGTGAGAGCCTGGCTTTGTGCTTCTGCGAAATTATCTATCTGCCCATGCATTTATCTGTTCACTCGTCTCTTTCTCCCTTCTACGGGTGCGTTTTTGGTAAAGGTTTTGCGACAAAAAAAAAAAAAAACACAACAAAAACCAAAAAACCAAACCAAACAAACAAACAAAACCATAAAAAAAAGCTCCAAAGAAGAAAAATTCCCAGTGCTAAAGACATCACTGAGCGAATATTTTTCTTTCTCTCTTTCTAACCCCCCTCTTCCATCTCCCCATTGATTGAAAGTCTCTCTCAGCTCCAACAAGGAGTCCCAGGAAAAATGAACCATTCTGCTATCGATTCTTCATTAAAATTACATTTCTGCATTTGCTAAATTGGTTTTAAAAAGCTTCCCCTGTTATTATTGTCTTGTCAGAGCCGGCGGTGCTGGGCAAACAGTATTTAAAAGCTTGGGATCTCTCCAAGATGAGGCTGTTGGGGGGTTTGTTGGGCATGTGCTGTTTTTTCTAAAGTGTTTAGGAAAATGTTAACAACGCGGACTGGAGAAAAGGATGCCCCGGACAAGAGGAGCACTGCGAAAATAAAGAAGGTGGAGGGAGCGCTTTCCTTCATAACACTTAAAAATCATCGATTGTCGCTTCAAGCAAAGGGAGAAAAAAAAGAAGTTTAATTTTAAATATTAAAATGGGACGGCAAAAGTCAATAATGGCAGCAAGGAGTATTTTTCTAAGACGTGGTCTCCAGCCCGCTCTGCAGCAGCCGCCGGATCTATCTGGAGTGGCTGCTCGCCCCGCTGCAGCCCGAGCCCTGCTCCTGCCGCTTGGAAACCTGCTTCCACGGGGAGATGTTTGAATAAGTCCAGCTGACCCTCAGACGCGCACCGGCTTCCTCCGACCTAACCCCGAGAAGCTCCACGGAATCCCCCTCCTCCCTCCCAGACCCATGTGGGAAAAACCCAGGAGGGACTCTGGGAGATTTACTTCGAATTCTGCAAATCTCTCTCGAAAGAGCAGGGAAGCAGAAATGTCTTCCTGATGTGTTTATCCCCTAATCAGTTCATTAGTTATAAACAACATGACATTAGAAGTTAGGAGGCAGTTGATATTAATTTTTATTTAACTAGTTGATGTTTAATCCGTCACGCCAGGCTGCTTAGAGAGAGCTGGCTGACACAAACCAGTTAGAACTTCATACACAGCGATGATCGTCCCGGCACCGGGACAAACAAACGCCGGCGGGGGGGGGGGGGGGGGGGGCGAGGGGCCGGGAAACGGAGGAAAAGCGGGAGAGGGGCAAGACCAGAGAAGAGGGAAAAGCAGCAAAGGAGGCTGGAAAATTCCTCCCCCTTCCCTCCCCCCCCCCCCCAATAAAGAGAGGGGAAGGGGGGAGGATCCACCAAAAAACATAAGATGTGGATGGGCAGAGAGGGGGAAGGGTGAAAAATCTGTCCAGGAGGCTGAGCCGGGCTGGCCGGGAGGAGCAGGAGCCCGTGCCAGGCACCCCTGCGGCCAACAGGGCCGGGGCCGGCTGCGGGTCCCCGCCCGGCAGGGGGACAGAGCCGGGGGTCGCACAGAGGGAGTCCTCCTCTTAATTAAAAGAGGGGCCCGATCACAGGTCTGATCGAGGGGAAACAGCAACACATGGTGGGGCCGGGTTAAACGAGAAGCGGGCTTCTCCCGCCTTGCCGGGGTGTAACAGTTCCTTTTGGTGTCAGTCTGCGACCCTTAACCAAGGAGCACAAGTGCTGCCGCAAATAAAAGGAGCGAACGATTAAGGAGGGAGGGCTTGTGGGTCCGTTTTCGGACACACATCTCTTCCTACCTTAGAGCCGTGCTGAAGCATTACCTAACTCGAGCCTAGAATTACAGACTTTCCTACTGTAGTTTTTTGTTTCTCCCTCGCAACAGGCTGGTACCGTACAGTTGGCTATAGGTACCTGTTTGGCTATACAGCATCTTTATATACAGCACTCTCTTCGCTTTATGCAGGGACCCCACCAGCATGTGGGACCCACACCCCGCCTTTGCTTCCGAGGTGACCACAGCATTATCCCAACACCTCTCTGGCCTGTGGTGGGACCCCCGGCGTTGCTCCCTCTGGGTGAGTGCTCCTGTACCTCCCTCGTGTGCCTGTTCACTCGTCACTGTTCAGAACGTATTAACGTGAGCTGCTATAATTATATCAGCACGTATTTCACAATTAAAGCCTTTCTTGGACAATCAGGAAGAGACACTGGGCAATAGCTGGGTGCGTTGCTTGCCCTGAGCGCCGGTTCCTCCGTGCAGCTGTAGCCGTGTGGCTGTGACTACAGGGAAAGTGTTCCTGCCTACGACCCATATTTTAATATCAATTTCCATATTAATTAATCACACCATCTATCTGCTGGATAAAGGAAATAGTTCACATTCCGAAGAAAATTGCCTGCTTTCCTGCAGTTAATAGTTAACTTCGGAGTAGAAAGTTCCCAGGGAAATGGGGAGGCGGAGGAGCAAGGAGAGCCCCGGCCTCACCCCTCTCCCCGGCCACGACACCCCCGGGGCAGCATTCGGCCCCTCCGCCGAGGGCTCGGGGCTCCGCTGCCTTCCGAGTTTGGGGAAAGCAACCGGAACCGGGTGTTTTAAGGAATACACTTCAGATGGGGTTGGGGGATGCAGGAGGAAGGCAGGCTCTTTCCCCATAGACCGAGGCAGAAAGTGGCTGCAACAGGTAATAGGGCAGACACCAGCGACCCGGGGAGTAGGGCAGCTTTTCAGGGCCGAGGGGAAACGCACGCTGCTTGGCTGTTTGGCTTGAAGTGGGAAGTGAGGAAGTGGGTGCCTTCCCCTTCGTCCGGCGTCTTTTCTCCCTTTCTCCGAGGCAGGGTGAGTTGAGAAGGACAGAGAGGATACTAAAGAGGGGACCTGCTGCGAGGGGGATCCACAGGCCGAGCTCGGGCAGACTCGGCTATTCCGAGGGTTTCGGGGTGATCTCAGAGGTGCGGGATGTCCCTGCTGGTGCCTTAGTGCTGGGGTACCTGGTGCCCTGTGGCGGTGATGATGAAGCTGGGGAGAACACAAGGGAGAGACTCAGGGGAAGGAGCGGGCTTCCTCGCGGGTTCGGGGCTCTCTGCAGAGGCTGTGGGATGGACAGGAAAACCTCGAACCACCGAATTTGGAGGGATGCTGCTGGCACAGGCAGAGGCTTCCTCTCTGGGGGCTGGGCTGGGGTAGAGCAGTGCTGTGGGAAGGGGATTGCGAAGACTGTGTGGTGGGCGCAGAGCCTGGAAAGGCCGTGGCCGTGGCCGGACGGGACCCAACGGGCTGCCCGCGGGAGGCACCGCGGGGGCTCCCCCGCCTTCGGGTCTCTCCGGCGGGGTATCGAGGTGCTGGCAGGAGGAAAGGGAGGAAGGGCACGGGGCAGCCGCCAGAGCTGCCAGCGGGACCAGGGCGGGACGCGGCGTTGAGAGGAACGGGCTGTGCGGGCGGCTCGGGGCCGGCCAGGGGTACCAAGGCAGGCATCTGCGTGGAACCCGGTCCCCGGCACCGGCACGAAGGGAACGGGGGGGTGTTGCGTGTGTGCTCACCCTCGCGGGTCCGAGGGTCCCGGCGTCCCCGCAGCGGGGCGGCCCCGGCCCTCCTCCCGTTCCTGGCGGGGCTGCCGGGCCGCGCGTCCCGCCAGAGGGGGCAGTGCAGATCGGCAGTGCCGGGCCCCGCCGGGAGCGAGGTTTACGGGGCTCCGGTCTCTGCCCGGGCAGGGAGTTCTGCCCCAGCCGCAGCGAGGCAGCGGGAGTTCGAGCCGGTCGTTGCGCTGTGGTGAGGCTCACATTCAAGAGCGCTTCCCACGACGTTTACACGCTCCCGGCCCGTCTCCCCGGCCACCGGGCAAGGTCTCCCGGGGTTTGGGCTACCGCAGCCCCTGCGCTGGTCCGGCTCGGCCCCGAGGCAGGGCGGCAGCAAGAGCGCTCTCCCCGGGTTCAGGTGACGTCGGTGGGGTCACTTCTTCCTTCCCCGCGTAGTTCAACACAAGTTATAGCGAGGAGGGGAGCCGGCAGCGGGTGCCCTGTGCTTGGGGACAGTCCGGGTTAAGAGGGATCAGGGGCTGCTCCAGGCCTTGGGGATGTGGGGAACGAGAAGGGATAAGGGCACGCAGGCGGGGGGACACGCGGTCGCCTTTGCCAGAACTGAAGGAAGGGAAGGGGAAAATGGAAAATCACGTTAAAAAGCCTAGAAGCTGGAGACACAGAGCCCGCCCTGTACTAAAAAGAAGGGGTAAATAAAAGAAGGATGGAACTAGGCGAGATGATGGAAATCAGGATGACTGAATAGATAGACAGACATTGACTTTTTACTAATATTAGCGGGAAAAAGGGCCGAATAAAGAAGGAGACATAATTTGAAGATGAAAGGATGGACGGACAGAATAGAAATTAAATTTTAATGCAAAAAAAGAGAAAATATGAAAAAAAGAGGAAAAGAAAATTAGGGGAAAAAGCCCCTTTCTACTGTTCATGGACAGAAAGAAGGGAATGAGGGGAAAAGGAAATAAAAGAAAATGAAAGTGCAAAAGAAAAGAAAGGAGAAAAGATGAGAAAGGTTTTAAAGAGCTGTCAAACAGTTGGTAGACATCAGAATTAGAACAGAAAAGCAGAAACATTTATGGCAGCCCGCGCAGAGGTGATTTCCCCATTGGCATTTTATGGAGCTCCTAAATCTCAGCCTAGCGCTGTGCTGAACTGTAAGAATTATTTTCCCCGCACTTTTCTTTTTTAGGTTCACTTCCCGTTTCCACCGCGGCCCGTCGGAGCAGGGGAGCAGCGACCCTGGGCTCCGCAC